AAGAATAGTTATTTAAAAATATAATCAGTATGTGCATCTTAATAGATTTGTACTGAAGCCTTCTGAAAATTAGAGATGACTAAACATAGACTGCAATCATTAGCCATGTTTTAAAAAGGAAAATGACATGGATATTTCTCACAATACACTAATGTGCAATGCTGAAAGCTATGAAATCATTGTTCTAATGCTGTAAAAATTACATATTTCATGAAAACACTATGTAGCCTACTTGTGTTCAGATACATCAAATTGGAAAAATCTTATAAATTGTTATCCTCAGTGGTTCCTGAAATTATTCTGTCATTTTCAATATTTCTACTATTGGCATCTATTTTGTATTCAGAAAAAAATGGATACGACTTTTCAAAAACAAGTGGCTTGTCTATGTTATGTATGCACTCATCCATCTGTTGATGGTGTGTACACCACTCTTGGGAGCGAGGGCGTGGACCATCGTACAGAGGCATGGCCCTGCCTGTGCTTAAATCCCATACGTTAGCACCAGGAAGCATTTTCACTTACATTAAAAAATGTGAATGGCTGGCAAAATTCCTTTGTGTGAAAAACCATATTAAAACTATAACAACAAACAACAATACCTACGATCATAGTGCCTCAACCTAAAAATTAAAAAATAAATAAATAAAAACGAGAATGCGCTCCTCTCTGTGTAACTCTGAACCAACAGCACGAAAGCCATTGTCATCAAGTCGAACTGCCCCTGTGCATTCCCAGGCTGTACGTCTTCAGGGAACAGAAATTCTCATCTTTCCCCAGCAGGGCGAGGAGTGGGTTCAAACTGCTGACCTTTCAGTTAGCAACCCAGCAAGTTGCACACTACCGCCCAATGGGCTCCTCTGGGACTGTAACAGTGAGTTATTCCTGACAGAACGGAGGTAGCAAGGAAGTGCCAAATCACAGAGAGGTAGAAGGGGGATGTCAGGAAGCATCAGGAGAAGGTGTTCTTGACACTCTTTAAGACGTTCTTCCCTTGAAAAAAGAAAACCAGGCAAGCTCAGTACTGTGCTATTGAGCATGGAGTCTGATGCCTCCAGGAGAGCTGCCGGCTCTGTACTCAGCACCCCCTGCTTCCTGGCAGAGAGGAGAAGCGGGTACCCAGGGGAGGGGCAGAGCAGGGTAGTGTCGAGGAGACCGGTTTTGCCCGCTGGTGACCAAGCAGGCCAAGCGGTAGTCAGTGCTTCCTGCCGTTTTCTCCATCCTTTCTGTTGACAGTAAGTTAGGTCCTCTTCATTCCCGCGGTCTCCCGCACCGATTTCCCAGCTCCCTGTTTGCCCTGTCAAAGCGTCCACCCCTCTAGAGGCCCTTTCAGACTCGCCAAGGTCCTTTCTCAGTTTGTTGTGATTTTGCAGTTACTTGGCTTCATAGAAAAGCAGGATTCCTCTTAAAATAAAACTACATACTATTGCAAAAAGCCATAGGTTCCCACATTTATTTCCCTTTTCAGGAAAAAAAAAATTGCTCAGTGCCCCTCTGACCATTAAAAATGTTTGTACTATAGCTCCTACTCCAGCATAAAGTGTAGGCATCTGCTTTTAAAGCCCCTCTGGATCATTCCAGTGGTATCTAAAGCACTGTGTTGAATGCATAGCTGCTCATCAGAAGGTTGGTGGTTTGAACCCACTCTGATGCTGGGGACAGACCTGTTGACCTGTTTCCATGAAGATTTCTGTCAAAGAGATGACAGTGCCATTCAGCTCTGTCACATGGGGTTGTTATGAGTCAAATTCAATGTACCCTAACAGCAGCAGCAGCTGAACCTAACAGTTCACGCTCAACCCTCAGGATCCAACTCATGATCATGGCCCCTGACAGGCCCTTCCTCATGCAAATAGGCACAACGATGACCAGCTTATATGTGGGGGCTTCAAAGGGCTCGTGGAAAATAGAAATGGAAAGGTAATGATTTTTCGACGGGTCCTCCCCTCATGTCTTTATAACTCCAACAAGTCTTACTATATTGAACTTCTCGTGCCTCCGTCCGTCTCCCCTGCTTGGTCAGTAAGGAGGGAGGGGTCGTGACATGTCAGAGCTCCGCACCGTGCCCGGCTCAGAGGAGACTGTCCACATTCTGCACTGGAACTGAATGCCAGCTGGGTTAGGCTGTGTTGTCTAGGGAAGCAAACCAGTGACCCTCGTCTACGTACAGGAAAGAGCTTTCTACCAAGAAGCATCTTTACATCAAGAAGTCACCCCAACCCAGTCCAATTCAAGTCCCTAGGCCCAATGCTGGCTGTGTGTGTGTGTGTGTGTGTGTGTGTGTGTGTGTGTGTGGTAGGGTCGCGGGGGTGGGTGTGGGGGCGGTTTCAGATTCCATGTAGCTGCAGGCCAACGACACCAAAATGGGAAGTAGGGAGGTCACAAGTCAGTGAGTACAGAGTCTCCTGGATCGAGAAGCTGGTGGAAGCATGGCGGGGCGATGACAACTTTTAGGGTTGGGTGGCCCACATGTGGCCACTGCAGGCGGCAGACACAGAGTCCCGGTGGAAGTCCAAGCTAGGAGGAAGGTGATTTGGAAGAGAGAAATCATCTCTGTTCCTTCCTGCTCGTCTACTGCAGGCCACACCTCCGAGGAAGTCTCACCAAGCGACCACTTGATGGACAGGTTTGCCTCCTCCCCAAGCACGCAGTGACGCACCAGGTCAGCCCGGTGAGCTGTCAGTCAGAACAAGTATAGAACTTGAATCCAGCTCCCACATTTAACCCTTGACCCATGCTACTGTGCAGCCAGCAAATTCTTCGTGATAGGTGGAAGGTTCTGCCAAAGAAGTCTCAGAAATTATTTGAACAGGTGTGCCTCCAAAGTGTGACAGGCAAGGGCCAGGTAAAGAATGTTCCTAAGACGGAAACATGGGTGCACACCGGCTCATGGTGTCTGTTGTCAAGTGTATTGCACGAACCCGAAACCATGATCCAGATCATCCAAGCTCTTGAAAAACATGGTTTTGTAAGTTCTGAAGGTTTCTATCAGGGTATTTTACAGGAAAGCACTTAGAGATGTCTCAAAGGCATCTTCATCCCCGAAGAGACAGGATCTTTTGGCCTCTGTCTCCTCCCTGGGTCCATTCACAGTCCACAGACTCATGCCTGAGATGACAAGTGATCACGCTCACATGATCTAGGAGAGAGTCATTGGGGGCTTGGCCTCAGAAGATCCCCCTTTTGGGTGACAGCCTGGCACCACTTGTTGTCCTTTAGACCTTGCTGCCCCTCTGAGCCTTGGGTGTTGCCTCTGTCCAGTGACTAGAAGACATTAGCTAGACTTTTTGGAGTGTAGGATGCGAGGAACAGCCAGGTGAGTGTGGAAGCAGCGGCTATAATAGAACACCTTCAGCTTCCCCTCTTCCATGCTGCTGTTTGCAAGATGCCTGTGTGATTTGCAGATGGCCTGAACCACTCACGACCCACCTCCAAAACGGTCCTTCTGGACCCGAGAGAGTGCAGGAGAGTGTGTGTTTGGGGCCTTGAGTTAGTTAATTGTGCCAGCCTGGCCAATAATCACATGTGGTGCTGGTTGAAAGGCGGAGGGATAAATGGGTGGTGAAGCCTCGCCTTTCTAGTTCTCGGGTCTCTTGCTTTGTGATGGTCGCACCAGGATGCAGCTGCCTTAGCAGCTTCCTGCTTCAGCTTGCAAGATTGACTTCCTACAAGACATCCCCAAGGAGAAGCCGCATGGACCTATCCCGATGGAGCCCTGGGTGCTGGAGCAGCCTTATGGAGACCCCTGCTAGTGCTGAGATGCTTATTCATTTACTGACTCAGCTTTCCTCCTGCAGTCAGCATCATTGCCTCTGTTTTGTGAGGTGAAGGACTTTGTGGACTGGTGTTGGGTATGGGTTAATGTTGGACTTGTGGGCTTGGGCAGCATTGGGTTGGGATGTTTTCGTGATGCACATATTCTTTGCATAAAACTCTCTCTGATACATGAGTTGCTGTGGATTTGTTTCTCCAAAGTACCCTGACTAATACAGGCCTTTAAAACATTCTGGGTTTTTTGTACAGTCTTTTTCTTTTCAAGAACTCTGTGCGACGTGAGCCTGGATGAAACACCCGGGTTGACGGTTGGTGGGGATCCATTTCCTCACATTTCCGTGCTCTTTGTACTACAGCCCCGTTCCTGAGCGCCGGGTGAGGTCGCTCGGGGCCTTCTGAGCTGGTTCACGAGCGAGCTAACGGCTCAGTGGCAGGCTACGTGGGGTCATGTCCTGAAGCCCTCTGTGTAGAATACGTTCTTCACCTCCGTCGAGAGAGTGTTGAGCAGCCTCAAGCAATAGCCCGGGAAGCTTTGGGAACCCTGCTCTTGAGTTTCTCATGCTAAGAAACCCCATGACAGAACTCCAGGCCCTGAGAGTCCCACTGTCCTCCGAGGGGACGGCTCCTCCCCTCTCCTTGCCTGGCCCTGGCCTTCAGAGGCACGTCACGTAGACACCTGGCTCCTGCATCCCCAAGCGTGGTGTGGCTGAGGTTGCTTCAGCAACAGGACACACGAGGAAACATTCCCCCGTAATGACATGAGTCCGAGGAAAGTTCCGCTGGGTTTTTCTTGGTGCATGATGCAGTCCCATGCCATCTACAGGTCCTAGGCTGTCCCAAACCTGCACACTGGATGCGGGTCCCCTGCAAACGTTCACTGTTCATGACCTCTCCACAGCACTCCTCGCTTACTCCAACAGCAAGCGGCCAGAAGCAGCCCACAGGCCGCACACCGAGAGCTCCGTGGCTGCTCGCCTCTGAGCCTCTGCATGGAATAGGCAACTGTGACCTTGACTGGGTGTCAAGCACGACTGGCACCGGGTCCTGGCCAGTGGTTAACGTCTGACTCCCTGAAGACATCCTTTGCGTTCAGTCGCTGAAGAAAACGGATGGAACTGCTGGCATATTCTCTGGGAATGGATGAAAGGGCGCTGACCCTTGAGCGTGGATCAAAGGTGGTGGTAGTTTGGGGTCGCTTCTAACCCGCGATTTGGTTTCTTTTTCAGACACGGAGATGACTTGATCGTGACTCCTTTTGCTCAGGTAAGCCCCGCGTGGTGAGCGAGCAGCTTCCCCTCGGGTGTGCACTTTTCATGTGGGAGATTCGTTTCTGTTTCCCGGTTTTATGGAGAACGGAAAACAAGTGCAGACACAAATGGGAGGGTTCGTTCTGAGGATGCTGAGGGAAAGCCCAGGGCACATGCACTTGCGCTTACAGGTTTGTTTATGTGGATCCAAGAGCACTTCAGCTAACAAACCATGTAAGTGATACACTTAAGGGGGTGGGGAGGCAGGGCTAAATTTCCTTACCTGACATGAGCAGGAGACGCAGAAGTTAGATTACTCCTAATATACTCATTTGGTGTGTGAAACCCAATAGCCCAAACTGCCCAAGGTAGTATTTACCACCTCTTGCGAATGTCTGCGTGCACAGACACGACTGTGGAATCGTCTGTTTGTTCCTTGTAGGTACATAAATCATGAAAATAGTGTCAGGACACGGCAGGTGTCCTTAGAAGGTGATAAGATGATCTAAAGCATTGTGGCATACAGCAGTGGCTATGTAAGAATGTTGGTGACCGGACTGGATGGTCCTGGTGCAGGTCAGTGCTTCTCAAGCCTGGCCATGCATTCAAAGCCCTATGAGAGCTCCGAGCCCAATGCCCAGGCTGCACCTCAAAGCCAGTCAATCTAAAGGTCCAGAGGGGCAGTGTGGGTAGCCCTCCCTACCATTTCAATGTGCAACTACGATTCGGAGCTGCTGGGACCGCCTTCCTGGGGCTGGAGGGGCTGGGGAGAACGGGGTGTAGACTAAAAGTGATTGAACGTGGCAGCAGGTGGGTTTCAAACCCAACCTGACTGACATCACATGTGACAGCAGGTGGGCAGGTGATCTCGAAAGGTTCCGAAGATGCGAAGCAGAAGGTCGTAACTAGCTGGATGTCTCAGACAACTCGAGTGGCTTGTCTGGACCCTTTTGTTCATGTAGGCGATGCAGGGGTGGGGCTGGAGGAGAGCCAGTTAAGGGGCAGTCTGCATGAGTTCAACTCCCTTAGCTCCCCTCCTAAACTGCCTGGTCTCGGACAAAGGACCAAATCTTTCTCAGCTCCAGCTTCCTCTTCTGCTAAATAATAAACCAGCCAGAACACCCACCTTGTAAGGTTATCAAGCAATTGAAATCATACAGGGCATATAAAATGTATGGGTTTTAGAAAATAAAGTACTTAATGCTTCTTTCGTGGTTACTACCAGAAAAGCTTCCAGGCTTCTTCTGTTTCTAAACTGCCATAAGAGGGATTGTTCCAAGTCTGTGAACAGTTGTGGTGTTTGTATGATAGTATGTAGACACACATACACATACCTATAGATTTTTCAAATATCCTGATTTTTCATGCTATTACTAGAATTCAAGCCATAAACAGTCATGTGAATGGTATCAATTTGCTCATTATCATTGGTGTATAAACATGGGACACCAGGCCTTCCAGACGGTTTCTGTCTTACCTGCTTAAGGTTTGCTGGCATTATGGATTGTTTCCCAAACATATATGTCTCTGTCCAAAATCTCCCACTCTTAGGATTTCATCAAATCATGCAAATCACCCCAAATCAAAGTCGCTGCCATTGTGTCCATGCCAACTCATGGCGACCCTGTAGGACAGGGCACACCTGCCCCAGTGGGTTCCCAAGACTGTAACTCGTTACAAGAGTAGCAAGCCTTGTCTTCCTCCTGTGGTTTCAAACTTCTGACCTTGCAGTTAGTCACCCAACAATTAACTGCTACACTGTCAGGGCAGGATCTTATAAAATGTCATATTTTTAACTATTCTGAACTCTGAATGTTGCTAGAAGAGGGAAGGGTTGTGTGAACAGACAAAACCAGACAAAATACTACTCATAAGCTAAACCCATGGCCATTGAATAAATCCTGACTCACAGTGGCCCTACAGGACAGATGGGGAAAGCTGCACAGGGTTTGTGAGACTGGAGCAGAGAGCCCTATCATTCTCCCGCAGAGAAATCTACTGGTGGGTTCGAACCTCCCACCCATAGTTAGCAGTCCGTTCAATCCTTAGCCCACGGTGCCAACAGTGTCTTACTATCAGTAATAACCATCGCCAAATATTTAAGGCATCCTCATAATATGTTTAACCATGTAGCTAGTCTTGCTCCTCATTCAAATCTCTAGATGTGGTTGTAAGGAAAGATATCTCTAAAGAGGTAGCAAAAGACAAAAAGTATGTTCCGTGTATGAGACCACGGTTACTTGCTTTAAAGCCCCTGCTGCTGCTGCACAGATCTGGACTGACAGTGGTGTCTGGAGCTGGAGGAGCCCAACTGTGGGGGGAGCTAAGGCCGTAGACCTTGACCAAGGCCGACCCGAGGAGAGGAGGAAACTGTCGGCTTTATCGTAATGCCAACCCTCTGAGATGTTGCTGTCGCGGGAACACGAAGGAGTGGTGAGAGTCTTGAGCAGAGTTGCCATTGAGATTCGAAAGGAGACGCTTGATGCTGGACGTCCGTCCCTCACAGAAACGACCTGACCACAGGGCCAAGCGTTCTCCCCGGTTCCCAGCCGGCTTTGGAGTTTAGAATTCCACATTACGTCCACGCGATGAAGGGAAAATACATTCTACTTTCCGTTGTTTGCAGAACATGTTTAGAAATATGCCAATGTCAGGAAAAAGAAAAACGTTTCAAGCCCCACAATAGCCACTATTCCTTTTATCTTTGAATTCCTTTAGAGCAGTGGTTCTCCACCTATGAATCTTAACCCCTTTGGGGGTCGAACGACCCTTTCACAGGGGTCACCTAATTCATAACAGTAGCAACATTGCAGTGATGAAGTAGCAACGAAAATAATTTGGTGGTTGGGGGTCAGCACACGTGGGGAACTGTAGGAAAGGGTCGTGCGGCAGGAGGAAGGTTGAGAACCACCGCTCTAGAGGGTGGTTGGGTTTGTTTTTCCTCTGAGTATTTTCTTTGGTGTGGTCACAGCGTGAGCGTTCACAGCACTTCTTCCAAGTGCATCTACTCTTCTGCCTCTTTCTGAGAGCCCATGTCCTCATGCCTATGCACAGCTCCAGAGCCCTGGAGGCATCGTGGGTACCAGTTGGCTCCTAACCACAAGGTCAGCAGTTCGAAGCCACCTCTTTCTCTCCTTGGGAGAAAGACAGGGCTTTCTACTCCTGTAAAGACTCACAGTCTCTGAAACTCACAGGGGCAGTTGTACCCTCCCGGACGCTGGAGGATTGCTCTCAGTTGGCATTGATTGCTGGCAGCGACTTCTTCAAGGTGCATCCCCAAAATATAACAGGATCCGTTCTTTCCCAACCATAAAGTCTAAAATGGTCTTCTCATTGATAACACACACGCAGAGACGCCCACCTTTGCTTGTCAGGGCTGCAGACTAAAACGCCTTTGGGGGATACAGTCTCTCTCCAGAGTTCATGTCCAAAACACTCTGAGTTAGAAATGCCTGTGAGTGTTTAGTTTGAACTCTTTATAGCTTTTTTGTTGACCTTCTTCAGAATTTGAAAACCCCCTAACGTGCAGAGAAAGAAAAAAGGGACAGCTTGAAATATTGAATTTGTTTTGAGAGATCCTCCCAGCGCTTGTGCCGCAATCTTTTAGTGTCTGCAGGCCCTTGGGCGTGGAGGCTGGGTGCTGAGAGGAATCCCAGTGCCACGCCGCCAAATGTCACTTGGCAACTGGCATTTCCTCCCTCAATGAGGCCCAGGTTCATAGGGGCCCAGGGGTGCACCTCTCTTCTTTGTAATCTCCTTAAAAACGTCTGAGTCCATGACCCATGTGCACCTGGAAGCACCCTGAGAAGACCCTCAGTAAACTAGATTCCTCACCGGCTGCTTTTACATGCCCTTCGAGTCGGTTCCGACCCACAGCGACCCTCTGCACCGCACACCCGACCCTCCTGACCCTGCAGGAGACAGTTGTTCTTCTAGTCAACTCTGTTCTCGCCGCCCCTGTGTCCAGCCTCGCGTAAAAACACGTTATGGGAAAAGAAGTGAGGCCCTTGAATAAAGAAAAGGCCGGCGGCACCAGGGCAGTACCCCTCACTCCTGAAGAGAGCCGGCAGCCGCAGGCGGAGGAGATCAGCACGCTGCGAAAAGGGGCCTAGAAACAACGGAGGCTTTTTCCTCTTGCCACGTTTCATTTAAAAAAACAACAAAAAACTCCAAACTCTGCCACCAAGTGGATGCTGAGGACTGGGAGACTGTGGCTTCTGAGACGGTCACTCTAAAACAAAATGCTAAGCCTTTTAATAATTTTGAAATGAAAATGATTATAATCATCCCAGCCAAAAATAACTTCCCCACCAATTAACCACGATGTAGAGTCCCTGTAGAAAGCCCCTTCCTTCTTCCGCCCCGAGGCTGGTGATTTCAGGGGAGGTGTAAGGGCGAAAATCAAACAGAGCAAAACACGCCCCGTCAACAACCTCCACATAATTTAGGGATATTGATTGCAGTTTCCAGATGTGTTTTCTCTGTCCTTCCCAAAGACTCTGCTGCCATCAGCATAAACCCCACGTGCCCTTGTGTGTTGTGATGACCGTGGGGTCCCCGCAGGCTCAGGGAAGCCCGCTATGGCCCGGAAGAACTGCCCACAGGGCCTGCTGGGCTGTCATTTTTATGGAAGCAGAATGCTGTCTTCCTTCCCCAGAGCCACTCGGGCAGCGACTTTTAACAAGAAGATCTTTTCTATGTTTTCCAAAAATATATATGCCCTCAACATCTGTGTTAAAATACCATTAATATATCAGAGTAAGTCGAAAAGTGTTTCCACTCGGGTCCCAGATCACACATGCATGGATTTACTCAAAATAGCACGTGTCGACAGGGTCTGTGATCAGTGGATGGCTGCAGACAAGTCCTCTGTGTAATTCCCTTTTCTTAGTCTCTGGGGTTTCGATCCACATGATCTGCTGCTCAAAATCACCACGCGCTCCACCGGAGAGAGATACAGCTTTCTGCTCCGGTCAAGAGTTCCAGTCCTGGACACCACAGGAGCAGTTCTCCCCT